AGGAGGCTATAATTGACAAATAAGTGGGCTTCCCCTCATGACATTTTATGGGTTTTTTTCTGGAAATTAAAGGTAGCACATGTAGTCAGGAGCCCAGACTCGAACCAAACTGCCTGGGTCTGAGTCCATCTTTATCATTTATTAGTTGTGTGTGATCCTGGGCAAGTTATTCATCTGCTGTGTAAAATGGGCTTAATAATTGTACTACCACTTTGGGCTGCTCCAAGGATTTGATGCTTTAATACTTATACTTAGAATAGTGCCTGGAATGTGCTCATTGCTTGATAGGTGTCTGATAAAGAAATATAAAAGAATCCTACAATAGTTATTTAATAATGCGTCATGATTAGTGCCAGGAGGAAATCGTGCTGGATAAAATAGTCCTATGTACACTATCAAATTATAGTTCCAAAGTAAGCTTTTTTCTCATTTTTCTTTCCACACCAAAAATAAGACGCACAAATCTTGAACCCAACAGAAATGAGGTGGAGGGTAAGTCTTGTCATGGACTAGCTATGAAAACCTGCTTTCTCTGGGACTCTAGCTGTTCGCTCACATCTTGGGGACAGTGACCCTGTCAAGTATCAAATAAAGTACCTCATCTATAAAACTCTAATATGCAAATAGACCAAACGGCAGAACAACCAAACAACTGGTCGCTATGGTGTGCACTGACCACCAAGGGGCACATGCAGAACATGGCAGGCATTAGCAGCAGGCAGCAGAGTGTGAAACATGGTGAGTGTCGGCCATGGGGGGATGGTGGAGCAGGTGAGCGGGGGTGCCAGACCAAGGCGGGGCACTGGTCGCTCTCATCGGGGCAAGCCTGTGGTGGTTAATAAAAATTCTTGCTCCCGCGCACTGTAGTCCTGCCCAGCGCTTACACCTACTGCCAGTGCCAGCCCCTCTCACACCCACTACCAGCACCAGAGCTGCTACTCACACCCGCTGCTGGCGGCTGGCACTGGCCTTGATCGCTCAGCGCCATCAGCGGGTGCAAGCAGCAGCTGCCAGCCCCATTGCTCCTTAGGCTTCTCCACCTCCACCTGCTCCTGAGAGGCAATCGGGGCTGGCAGCTGTTGCTCACACCGGGGCACAGAGGATGAGCTGAGACCTGCCCCTGTGCCCACTGCAGCCTCACAGCCCACAGTTCCTTGCAAGGTGCACATATTCATGCACTGGGACCCTAGTAGATAAATAACTTGCAGGCTCTTAGGTGTTTTACGAAGTGAGCTCTGCCTACTGCTTTCTTTTACTTCTCTTGCTTCTTTTTCTATTTTCTTTATGATCCCTTCTCCATTTTTCTCTCATTTTTATCATTCTCCTTACAAAATAATCCAAAGGAAATTTTTTAGACCAAAACTAAGAGGACTATAAAGTCAGGAGTAATCTTATCAGCCATAGGTAAACTCTTGTAAAGAGTAGTCAGCCTTCTTAGTCTTTAATATAAATGTATTTTAGGCCCTTACTATTGTTTGTAGCTGCACTTTAAAATTTCTTATAGTGTCACATTTTTTATTCTACTACACTCTATGATATGACTTAAAAAATTATCCTATTTTTAATGCACCCTCTTTTTTGCAACCTATTTCCAATTATGGGACATTTCGGTGTTTTTCTCCAAATTTCCTCCTATTAAAAATAATAGGGGCATGAACATCCTTGGAGAAATGTCTTTCCTCAAAATCATTACTATTTCCTTGGAATTCTAGGAAGAGAATTGACAACATCACATATAATTTATATTTCTTAAATCCTGATACATGGTGCCAAATTATTTTCTAGAATGATGACTTCACTTTACCCTCTTTTCAACAGTATTTGAAAATGCACATTTTCCTTCTAATCTCATCAAAAATTATAATCTTAAAATAATAATTTGATATTCATAAAATAAGATAGGTGGTTATAATTTACATTTATTTATTTGCAAAATTAAAAAATTTCATATGTTTATTGGCCATTTTTATGTCTTTGTTTGTGAATTTCCTATTTATATCTTTTTTTATTTATATCATTTCACCTATTTTGTGCTAGATGTTATTTTACTTTTTCAAATATAAGGGCCCTTTACACAGAAAGGACATTAACTCTTTGCAGTGTCAGATATTTTTTTTTAAGTTTGCCATTTGTTTTCATTTTTATAGAAATTTTAGAGCATGGGAGTTTCAGTTTTTTAGGTGGCTTTGTTTGCTTTGGTTTTAATGATTGGTGTCTATGGCATGCTTGGGAAGGCCTCTGCTATCCCAACTTTAAATAGACAGATATCCACTTAGTATTTACCATTCCTACCCCACCTCCCTTTTTTTCTTCTCCCTGCCCGCATTTCAGAATTGCCATAGACAAATGGCTGGGCCCCAAAGCCACTTATCTGTGTGTGGTCCTAGCTCCAGGCTCAGACCTAAGTGTGTCCAGTACAACCTCACAGTGTCATGCTGATATCCCTGGCAGAATTCTGTAGAAGACATTCCAAGGAGGGAAATGAATCCACAAGATCTTTGATTCTTAGAACTAAAATGCTTTAAAATAGCATTTTGTTCCTACTCTTCAGACCTGGATTACCTGCCCTGCTTAACATAAAAAAAGTCAGGTAGAATTCATTACCAACTTTATATGAGTTTCCGAAGCACAATGTGGGGAGATTAATCGTTGTGCATACCTTCTCAAATGTTCATAGTTGTTGTAAAACTGGGAAGTTAATAAATTAGCCCTAATAAGAAATGTCTTTACATCATACTTGAATCTCTCATTACTCCCCCCTCCTAAGGCAGTTGGAAATACTCTATTGGGAATATAAACCATTGACAAAAAAACAACCATGGTTCAAAATCATAGCAGAAAACAGCCAATCAGGTCACTGCATTTGCTCTTTCATTGTGAGAATCTCATGGGTTTGGGAAAAGCAGTAAGGGCTTTGAAGAAAAGGTAGCCAGGAAGTTGAATCTCATCTCTGCCACTACTAACTGTATGACCCAGGGTGAGTCAATTTCTCAGATCTCCATTTTCTGGTATGTTGATATTAATACTCATAATACTAGTAACTAAGAGAAATTGAGCCACTACTCCATGCCAGGCATTTTAATCACTTTACATGTGTAACCCAGGGAGGCAGGCACTATTTTCATCCCCATGTTACACCTGATAAAACCAAAGCACAAAGAGCATGTTGCCCAGAGTCATACAGTTAGCAAGTAGAGGAGCATGACGTGCAAGGTCAGGCATTTGATGGCAGAGTGGATGAGCTCAATGTTAGTGACTGTAAAAGTATTCAAGGAAGTGTTTGCTCGGTTCATACAGAGACGAGAGTCACTAAAGGTTAGTCTCCTTCTGGCCCATTAGTGGGACCTTCTTCCTACCTCGCACAGTTGCAAGCTCCCCATCCACGTGAGCCATGCACTGCATGGCCGTAGCCCCCACGCATATTGGCATGCTGACCCGTTGTCCTAAAACAGAAGTCGACAGGTCTATTTCAGCAACATTCCGGAGCATCCGTGGATACAGCTTCCATCTAGAGTTAAGAGAAAAAAAGTTTTAGAATTTCAAAAGCATACCTAGAGCTTTGACATTACATGTTAGTTAAAAAGAACATTTTCTTCCATTGAAGCAAATTACAGAGCTAAAGGAAAAGGGACAATTGAAATGTCTGTTAAGATGGAAAGTTAGCAATAAAATAATAACAAATTCCTCAAGCCATTGTTCCCAGTGAGGTATATTTGACACATGGTAGAATTTGCCCATTTGAGTATAAAGTTTTGTGAGCTTTGACAAATGCATAGTCATATAACTGCAAAAACAATTAAGATTTACAACAGTTTACCATTCTGAAAAATTTCCCCATTTCCTTGTGTAGCGAAATCCTCCCCTTACCCATCCCTTAACAATCACCAATCTTTTTTTTTGTCCCTATAGTTTTACTTTGCAAGCTTCTACACTAATAAAAGAGAAACATGCAAATTGTGTCACTCCGCTATGCCCACCAGCCAATCAGAGTGACTATGCAAATTAACCCAACAAAGATGGCAGTTAATTTGCATACGCAGGCACAGAGCAAAGACTGCAGGCTCCGGCCAGAGTGAAGACTGAAGACTGAAGAAGCTTGGCTTCTCTGCTGCGGCCGCAGTGGAGAAGCCAAGCCTCACTGTGGCTGGATCGAAGGCCTGGGTCCTAAGTGCCGGAGGAAAACCAGTGCCAGCAGCCAGGGGAAGGAAGACCTATTGTGCGAATCTTCGTGCAACGGGCTTCTAGTCTAATCTAATAAAAGAGAAACAAGCAAATTGACTGCACCTCTGCTATGCCCCAAGTCACGCCCACCAGCCAATCAGCGATTATATGCAAATTAACCCAACCAAGATGGCGGCCGGCAGCCAGGGAGCTGGAGAAAGCAGGAGGATTGGTTGCCCCAGCGATGGAGGAAGCCAAGCTTCCTGCCTGCCCTGGCTGGCTGTGGCCTCTGCTCAAGGCAATGATGTTTCAATTATAGAAGATAAATAAATCCCAG